TATTATTTTGTTTTCCCCTTTTTGATGTTGTCAAAGGGGAAGAAATATTGTGAGTATGTATTTCTTGTTTATGTGCATGATAATTATAATTTATACATTCATTTCCTTTCATGCATATATCTTTTTGTAAATTGTTTGTCATCATCAAAAAGATGGAGATTGTTAGCCTTTTTGTTTTGATAATGTTTTAACAAACAAATTTATAACTAATATTGTTTGTCTAGTGTTTGTGTTTTATATTTATTGTAGACAAACAATACGTTGGAGGTTGGATGGACTTGAGCTTTCACGACATATCCAATGGAGGTTGGCGGAATAGTGGAGTGAAGCTATGCAATTCAAGTTAAAGATTCAAGTTCAAGCATCATCCACAAGTTTACCAAGTCATGCTCATTGAAGACCTTCATCAAGCTTGGGTATATTTAGTTTAGGTTTTATATTATTTGTGTTGGTACTTTAAACTCAATCATATACACACATACACGTTTTGGTTTTGTATATATATAGTTATATATATACATATATGTTTTGCTTTAGCATATAGATATGAAACAATATATATCTTCATATACACTTTTATATGTTTTATATTCTTTTGTATTTGGAAAAATATTGTGTTTTAGGTTTATAGACTTAACAACTATAGTTTATACTTTTTATCAAGTCTATATAATCATTTTACAAAGTTTAAAAACTTGGTTTATGTCAAAACATCAAAATGTCAAATTTTATGTATTTCATTTTCATGTTTTGGACTATTTTGTAGGACTATTTTGTAAAATAAAGAGATTTCTCATTTGGGAGGTGCTATTTGAAAACCAGTATTTGTAACATGTTCATTATCATGTTTACAAGCATTCCTCAAAGTTTTACATTTTTATGATTTTATTTGTTATTTTTAAAAGAGGTTTGAAAATTAGATTTTCTGTTTCAATCAAGCTGATACAGTGTTATCATTCGACTGATGAATGTGTTCAGTCGACTGAAGAAATCGCCTGGAAAGTCAAATAGTTTTTGTTTCTTATTCGGTCAATTGACCAGTCGACTGATGAGGTCATTGGTCAACTGACGAGTTCATCAGTCGACTGATGACTTGTAACTGGCTTGTAATGGTCAGCTCATCAGTCGACTGATGAACAGTATCAGTCGACTGACGACCCAACGGTTAGTTTTTTCCAGCTTTCTATTTTTGTCTTTTTGTTGGGTTTTGTTGGTTTCTTCTTGGCTTTGGGGTTTCCTATAAATACCCCCACATATCCTCAGTTCATCTTACAAGAAGAAAAGTTTTTAACAGGGTTTAAGTTTTGTTTAAGTTTGTTTCAAGAGTTTGTTTGTGAGGAAATTTTCACAAGAGCAAGAAGAGATCATCCTTCGGTGTTTGAGCTTCAACTCATCTCTCTCACTCTTTTCATTTATTGGAGAAGTTTTCTAAACTCAATCAAACTTTTCATTTATATATAAATTGTTTGATTATCATTTTTCTAAGCTAGAGTTTATATTGAATTTAGTTTGATTTTGATTTATTGAATCTCATTGTTACACACACCCACTTGAGCTTTTAGTATTTACATACATAGTATAATTTGGGTTGTGAGAGATAGTAACCTTGAGTTGTGCTTAATTGAGTTCTCATATTGTTTAGAGAACAATCATTTATTGTTGAGCGTTAATTTGTGAGGTCACATTGTATTGCACAAATACACCAAGAGGAGTGTAGAGGTGAGAGACGTGGTTGGTCCCAAGAGGAGTGGGGTCGGTGGTAATGCCTAGAGGGTAGGTCGTAATTCCGAGCACTTGAGGGAGACACGTGAGAGACCAACACTTAAGGTGGTATTTGTGTAGTTATAAGTGTGAGTTGTAAACGTTTGTCGGTGAGCGTAGAAAACCGATTGTGAGGTGTAAACGTTTTCGGGTGAACATTGAAAACCCAGTGTGATGGTGGAGTTCTCCCCATGAGTGGGGAGCGGTGACGTAGGACCGAAGGTCCGAACTCTGTGATTTTTTTATTGTGTTTGAGTTTGTCATTGATGCATTTACTTTTGTGTTTATCTTATATCACCATTGCCTATTACTCTTTGTGTATATTGCCCTATCATATTTGTAGTTTATTTTATTTACCCTTATTTATATTGCTTATCCTTGCATAATATTGTTGCATATCTTATTTGCTAGGATAACTTGTTAATAAGTTTTTAATTGGCATTAAATTAGATTAGATTAGTATAAATCATATTCACCCCCCTCTAGGGTTCTTTCCTAGTGGCATTAGGGTGCTTTCAGATTCAACAGCCGAAAGAGAAATCAAAGCAAAACATGAACTTTTTTTACTGTTCATGCGTGCTACAGTTCCAAAGCAAACAGAATTGAATTTTTTTTTTTGAAATTTTCATGCTACAGATCATATTTGCACAGATCCAAACGTGCAACATATTTTAATAAAGCCAAATTAAGATCAAAAACCCCAAATTCTTAATCTTAAATATAAATCTCAAAGAATTAAACACGGTGGCTCTGATACCACTTGTTAGATCTAAAACTGAGATCTAACCCATAATACCATGATTAGTTCAAAGAGGTTAAAACAACAATGAGCGCGGAAGCTATACCTGAATCCATGACGATTTGAGCACGGATCTAAATTAGGGTTTTATCTTCTAATCTGAAAGGTTTCTCTTGAATATCTCTTTAGATGGAGATTAGAGAATAGAGAACGTAACCTTTAGATTAGGGACCATAACCCCTTTATATAGATTTGCAATTTTCTGATTAGAGAATAGAGAACGTAACCTTTAGATTAGGGACCATAACCCCTTTATATAGATTTGCAATTTTCTAATTTAGCCCCTCATAAAATTATAGGGACCATAACCCCTTTATATAGATTTGCAATTTTCTAATTTAGCCCCTCATAAAATTAGAATTGTAACCTGATATCCGCACATTTAGCCCATGATTTATTTAAATACTCATTAACCCAAATTTATTAATCACTTTATGCGGGTTAACCTTAAGGATAACATTATATACTAATGTAACATATATGCTCATAATTAGATTTAATCCAACAGTACCATCATGAAGGTGCACAACAGACACCAAATAAATAAATAAATAAATAAATAAAATCTAAAGGAACTTACGATATCATCATCCAATTCCAACGGCTGCAGATTGGTGTAACCATTGGTGGGATCTTCATGCGATGAATTGGAATCCATGAATATTAATTATGAACCAGAGAAAGAGGCTGACCTCCCTCAAGAAGAAAATTATGAGAGATTCTTAAAGGTTAATATAAATAAGGAAGTAAGAAGCTCTACTTATGGAGAAGTATTTGTGTATTAGAGTTCATGTCGCAATCACAAAAATTATTGAATTAATCGACAAGTTCAAAAATTATTGAATTAATTGATGATAGATATAGGACAAGTTCAAAAGTTCAGAGAAAAAAACATAGAAGTTATTAAAGTTATATTTCTATGTAATAATAAGAGCCTGAAATTTAACTAGAACTCTTGTTTAAAGACTGATAAATTGTAGTTGCTTAGAACTAAATCTATAAGCCTATAGAAGATATATTTGAGAGAAAAAATTATTAAAGGAAGAATATTGAGACTTTTAGAATGCTTAATGAAAAATTATTTATTTACATATTCAGTTAGTTTATACTAATCCAAACCTAAAAGACAGACTAGGCCTAATTCGAAATTCTTTTTGATATTACGTTTATAGGTTAATTTAGAAATATATCTTGCTATTTCTAAAATTAATTATCTAAGATAAAGGGACATTGGGTTATTATCCTTTCTTTGTAGGTCCCACAAATAAATAGTCTTGCAATAAAATTGGATTAACTATAAAATAATGTATAGACATTGTTACAATATAAAAAGATAATCCTAAACCCCAACGGTAACTTTAGAGTTTTGGTATAATAGTTAGAGAGACTTAGTTTGTGATGGTATCAGAGCAACCTAGGTTTAAATCCCACCGGCTATGAATTTAAAGTGGATTTTCTAAAAATTGACACAATGAGTCCAGGTTTCGGCCTATAAAAAATGCTCAACCTACACGGGCATATTATTAGAATATAAAAAGATAATCTTTAACTCTCACCGTAACTTCAGAGTCTTTGTGTAATGGTTAGAGGAACTTAATTTGAGAGACAACCTGTCATAACATTAGACAGTTCTATTAACTTATTTTTATATCCAAAAGACCAAAAGTTAGTTATCTTCACAATTAAAGTAACCAGAAACTAATGAGACAAAAAACTTCATCAGATGAGCATCCTAAGATCTCTCCAAATAGTTCGATGAAAGTTAGAACTTGGGACAATACGAGTCAATTTTTAGGAAATCCATGAACATCCTATGATCTCTCTCGAAATAGTTCTGTGAGTCAGAACTTGGATGAGTCGAGCCAATGTTTAGAAAACCCGCTTTAAACTTGTGGCTAGTCAAATTTGAAACTATGTTGGTTAAAAATCATTTTAAAGTTCTTGTCACTACACCATAACTCTAAAAGTACGGTGAGGATCAAGAGTTATAGCTTCATCTTCTAAGGATACAAATGCAAAAATCTGGAAGCCGTCATTTCAAATTACATAGCTTTTAAACACTGTTCTAAATACCTGAATTTTGATTAATTTCAAATACAATGAAGGCTGATTTTCAAGAAAAATTGTGGAAATGTATTTCTAGCAGACTTAGAAGTTCGTCTTATTAAGCTCTATAAACAAGTTACAGTGTCAATCTCAAATGTATCATTCAAGAGTAGAACAAGAATCATAGTGAAACGATGCAATTCTTTCCAGAAAATTTTGTGCAACCTGCACCGGTGGCTTGCTGTAATTACTAAAGCATGATGGTACCATTGTCACTGAAACTAAAGTGAGCACTGCAATAAGTTAGGCTTAATATTACAGCACTTCTGAGCAAAACTGTCCTATTTCATTAATAAAATCTGAGGAATACCCTGAGGAATCAATAAGATACTCATAACAAACAAAATATAAATAACCAACCGACTAACGAAACATTTAATAAATTTACCAAATTATGAAACTAAAGACCATTATCAGCAAAGCAACACCACCATCCTAATACCTTAAATACCAAAAAAGACACTGTCAAAATTATTGTTGACAGTAATAAAAGTCTGCTAGAATTCTAAATTATATGACTATCTCTATACTTAGGAGATCAGATTGTCAGAGAACAAGAGAGCCTCTAGTTAGGTGTATTTGGCTTCGATGCATGCATATACTCATCACTATGATCTGATGATCCTTGGATTAATTCCGATTGGGCAGAACTAGAGCCAGCAGCATATTGAGCCTCCAATAAACTCACATTCTCATTAGCTTCAGGCATAACTCTACTAAGAATCATAGTTTCCTGTGAAGTTTGTCGTTCTCTGGTTTCTGAAACAGCAAAAGCGGAAGTTTACTACTCAAATGAGATGAGATAGCTGAAAGAACTTGAGAATTTGAATAAATTACCTGGTACTATGCATGGTAATTGATTATCATGATTTAAAACAATCTGACCATTTTCCCTGTGACTCCAATGACATGATTCGGTAAAATAAATTAAAAAATAAATGAACATCTGGATTCACAAACGCAAAAAATTTCAGACTTACATTGAGCTTTGAATAGGTTGATGGTCGATTGTTTTTGAATTCTCAATCAATATCCTCACATCAATTGAATTCTTAGGCTTCCTGCCCCTCTTACTTACCGATTGGATAACCGGCTCGGTTCCTGAAGAAAAAGGATGCAAATAACAGAAAATATGCATCAGCCTGCCAATTTATGCCAAAAAGAAATCCATTATCTTATATTCACATTAAATGATTAATGTAGCACAAATAATGAAACTTCCTTTATTGTAGAGTCAATCAACTAGCAAACACAAATCCATTAGTCTCATAAAATGTGTTCACCTTTTGACTGATCAATGTATTTAGATACATCCTACATTTATTTGTCGTGCACTGAAGTACCATACAACAATACGAGGCTGGTATTACAACTTTGAATAATATCAGTACATTATTGCAGTATTCAGCCATCTCATATTGAGAGTAACTTTAGCAATTCCATTACTACTAAATACTAACAAATTTGTTTCCTGCTAACCGATGGATTTCGAAATAGAATTCATTTACCTTGTCTTTTGCCATATGAATTCTGACAGCCTGCACATCGGCAGTTGAGAGAACATCCATTGCCAGCCTACACACACACGCACACACAAAAGTTCACTAAAAAAATATGAATAGGCAATTAAATAAAAAATAAACCCTGTCATAGAGTAAAAGAAAAAACTATTACATTATAACATTCACAATATTTTTTCTGGCAGTGGGACTTCATGCAGTTACATCCTTTTGTTTGCATGCCTGAACTTGATGCAATCTTCTTACCCTTCTGCATTGAAGAGGGACTATTACAATTTATTTTAAATTTGGAAACCAAAAGAAAAAAAACTCAAATCCATTCATTTCCTTACCCCAGAATCTCTCGACTCAATATGTTCACGAGCCGCTCGGACTGAATCTTCCTTATCTATTGAGTTCCAGCACCCATCACAAGAACAACTCTTACCACAGTAATAATTATTCGTGAAGCAATCGCAATAGCTACAGAAAAGCATAAAGTAGTTGAAATGTTAAGACATATTTGACTCGGTAGGAAAAAAATGTAGCAGGGCAAATCAAAGAGGAGCTTACAGTTTCCAGCATTGCGACTTCTCACAAGTGCAAGATCTGAGCGCATTACCATTGTCCCTGAAAATCATAAAATTCTATGAAAATACTGCAAAATAAACATGGGTAGGAGAACATGAGTAAAGTGAATCAACATAAATCGTTACCTATTTGATCTGCTGCCTGCACCGGTGCGCCCCTCATGACTATTAAAACCTCCAAAAAGTCTTCCAAAACCTCGTGTGGCTGCGTAGGAATCAGTAGTCCTCATGGGATTAATATTGTTAAGAGGGCTTATATTCAATTGTTTTAAAACAAGCAATACTTGTTCTTAAAAACTAGAAAGGAAAAAAAATAAAAATAAAAATCAAGCACTACAACCAAATCCATTCTAACAATTGGTTGATAACACTAATTTTTCATACATATATAACATTTATCTGATTTGCCTACATCAATTGTAATTGTATGAAATTTTAAGGTTTGTATGTGGACATAGATTAGTGGATGATACATCATACTAATGACACCATTCAAAGCCTAACTTATCACATTCAGGGCTTGTAAAAAGAATCATCTCAAAATTAAACAAAGAAGTAAGACTCATAAAATGAAATCTTTATGGATTTCATTGCAGAACAGGAAAAAAATCCACAGAATATCAAGAAATATATATTGAAACAAATTGAATCGCATCAAGGAAAGAAAACTCATACCTCATATTGGCTCCGACTGGGACTGAAAGCAACCCAAGGTTCATTAACAATTATTGGACCATCAATAAAAGTATTATTATTGTTATTGTACTGACCCCTTATGGATGAATCGAATGCTCCGGTAATTGGTGCATCTCTGAACATGTCTGAAATGGGGTAACTGGCACAAGAAATATCAATATCATAGCCGAAGGAAAATACCTGATCTTCATCCATACAAGTCTCTAAAAAGTTCAAGCATAATATCTGACATATTTCGTTCCATACGAAACATATTTCTATTTTTAATATAAAAGAAAATATATAAGGTGGATGCCATCATTTCATGCGTACTAAGATTGAGTGCATGATTTCGTTTGGGTGGATACCACAACTTAAGTTTTACAAGAGTTCTAAGACAAGAGTTTTCACTGTGGCAAAAAACCAAAAATTAAGAAATTGTGTACGGACACACAAATACACGTAAATATAGATCAATTAATAGGTATATAAACTATATATAAATGTAAGTTTTGCTAAATTAAGGTTGGGATTTCACCAAATACGAGTTAGATGTGACTCTGCATTGAACAAAGAATATCAAAAGTCCATTAGCGTTGAGTTGAGTACTACCTTCCCATTAGCACGTCAAGGTCTGTTGGTGAGCCTGTTGGTAGAGAATAACACCAAGTGGACAAATCCTGCAAATTTAAGAAAAATCAACTTTTATCGACATAGGAAATTAAACTGCAAAAACTCCACTACTCAATAAAAATTTCTTTCAGATTGCTGCACCCTAGGAAATTATCGTGGATACAAGTTTTTTCATGCTTTGATGACTTCAGATTACTGCATAAGTTGATTGAGATGGTGGATGATTCCCTTACGAGAGGAATCCGGTTACTTTTAAATGTTCCATATTAACCAGAGAGTTCAATTCCATCAAATTTTTGTAAAAATTGTTTTACTTATTCTGTTATGAAAGTAGTTCTTCTGGTCGAAAAAAAAAATCAAGCACAATTGCTAAGTTTCATATATCCTTCATTACAATACTTAAAAATTAAAAGTAAAGAAAAAAGAGAAGAATTCAAAAACTTGTTGATATCTACTGCAAAATTTCAAGAAGAAAAAAGTTAGAAGGCAAATAATATAAGATGAACCATCATAAAAATTATCTGAAGAAACTTACATCATCGTTATTGTTGGAATCTCTAGATGTTGAATCAGAACCCATGTCTATAGAATTTAGAACAAAAAAAAAGAAGGTTCAATTAGTTCCCCTCAATTAGAGAAGAGAAGAGAAAGAGAGCTATTTGAATAGAGAAGTAGCTAGGGAGGGAGTTCTACTTATGAAGAAGTCTGTAACGGAAAGTATTTTCAAATAATGTATCTACAAATATTTATTTAGTTCTTTCACGACAATAGGAGACTACCTGAGATAAATACCATAATAAGGGTTTTTTTTTTCGATTTACACCCTCTAAATTGTACATATATTTAAATTTGCCCCTTCTGGATTTGCCCTCCAATTGTTTAGTTCCTTCAATTTTACACAATCAATATAATCAATAAAGAATATGCCTGAAATATTCTATTGCAATTGGTAACTTTAAAAAAAAAAAAATCTAAGTTACCCTTTGATATATTGATTAAAATTAAAGGTTGTTAGTGCACAGTACGTATTAATTTGCTTCTTTAATACCCCCAGATTGTTTAGTTCCTTCAACCATAAATAGGTTGAAGGGCAAATTTGAATGAACCAAATGAATTGGAGGTATAATACAATGATTTGAGGGTTAACTTAGAAACCCCTATAATTTGAAGGGTATATATTGGGAAAAACCCAAACAATAATTGTATTTTCACATTTTGTTATAGATGTGCAGGAAAGAAACGTGTGTGAATGATGAGATTAACGATAGAGATCAGATAGGTCCAAATGTAGACAGAGAAAAATCTGAGCAGTTATTAGCATTATCTCTATGTAATAATAAGAGTTTGAACTTAATAACAACTCCATTGTTTTCGCTTAAGAACTTAATTTATAGTTGAAGATATATAGTTGAGGGGCACAAAATAACAGAACTAGCCTTTTAGAATCCTTAATTAAAATTTATTTGTTTACACCTTTCATTAATTTCATACTAGTCCATATTTAACAAAATTTCAGGTAATTAGAAATTCTTATGATAAGTTTACAGATTAATTTAGTAATATCAGAACTTTTTCAAAAAATAATTATCTAAACATATGCGAAACGTTGGATAGAATATCTATTCTCTGAAGGTCCCAGAAATAAACAGTACTTATAAAATTTTTTTGAAGAGATAGTATAATTAACATATAAATAATAAATATTTTAGTTATTAATTGTGGTGTCTTATGCCAAAATAACACCATGATGTTGTGTTTTTTCTTTAAAGTGTTTTCAAAACACCATGTTGAGTGTTTTGGTTCAACATTATTTTGACCTACTACAAAATTAGTATTAAACATACTATTAATATATTATACATTAATTATAATAAAGTATATATTATAAATAAAATATTATAATATTTAGTTTTATAGTATTAAGTTTTAAATATAATATTGTATAATGTATTATAATATTGTTGTACTTTAATAAGTTATATTATTTTATAATAATTATTATATTATAATTATTACATATTATTTTTAAATAATTATATATTTAATTATTTTGGTATATTAATTTGTTATTGTTATATATTATATAATATTTTAAAATAATATTATTTTATTATTATATACTACTATACTATTATTAATATAATATTATTAGTAATGTTAATTAATGTTATTACTACTACATTATTAATAAATTCATATATTACAAATATTTTCATATGATATAATATATTATAGTTTCTAATATGTTAAGAGTTTATTAATAATACTTTAATAATTTATGATATAAATCAATATTATTATATTATGAATATATTATTTTTACATTAACATTTGTTAGCAATAAATTGTTTTAGTATTTAAAATTATTTTAGTTTATGATATATTAAATTATTTATTGTATAATATATTAATATTTGTATATTATACTTTAATGAGTTACATTATTTGATAATTATTATTATATTATAATTATTACAAATTATTTTGAAATAATTATATATTAATTATTTTCCATATCAATTTGTTATTGTTATATATTATATATTAATTTTAAAATAATAATATTTTATTATTAATATAATATAATACTATTATTAATATAATATAATAATATTAATAATGTTAATATTATTTTATTACTACTATATTATTAATAAATTTATATATTACAAATGTTTAATAAATATTACTAATATATTAGATTAACTATAATATAGTATAGTACAATATAATAAGTATGTTGATAATACCTATATATTAATTACATTTAATATATTATGTTAGATATTATATTAACACCTCCTCAAACTCAAAACCAAAACACCACACTTACACCTAAAAGGTGTTTTGAAATAAGTGATGTATTTTTTGTTTGAAAATGATTTAGCTCAAAAAACACCATGGTTTCCAAACACATGGTGTTTTATTTTTAGCAAAAACACCATGGTATCCAAATAAGTAAATCATAATTTGTTACACCGGTAGGCGTGAGGGGTTAAAAATAAATAAATTCTGTTTAGATTGGTTAAAGTTGTAATAAATATGACTGTTATTATGATCTAAGACAATATTAGGTGAGATATATGATAGATCTTAGGACGTTACAGATTCAATGTTACGGTATATCCTTCCTTGCTCCTAGAAGTCTATAATCCAAAATATTAAATATGCAGATATTGATTATTCATGTCTTGAAGCTTTCTCAAATTTAATACCTTTGAAAAATAGGACAGGCTAAATAAAACGACGCCATCAAAAACGTTCAATAAAAGGCAGCATACGATATTATTTTCCAAAAAAGGCTAGTTTTAAAAGGATCATTTGCATCTTGGTTCTCTAAAATTTACTCTATTATTAACTTTGATATTTCAAAAATTTTTGTCGCACTTTTGATTCCCTACCGTTTACACTTTGTTACTTTAATACTATAATAAGGTTTTTCCTAATACTTTGATGTCGCAAAGTTTTTAACTTTTTCAACTTTAATACACCAAAGTTTTATTTTGACACTTCTATACTCCAATGTTTGATGTATCATTGTTGAAAAATATGTAAACTTTAGCTTGTCGAAGCTAAATTTTTTGGGGTATTAAAGTAAAAAAAAAAAAAAAAATTTTAACACTGGGGTATTAAGCTGTCCAATAAAAACTCTAGGTTATCAAACTCCAAGAGATGTAAAGTTTAGAGCACGAAAATGCAAAATATCCCTTAAAAAAGAAAACTTTGAAGCTCAAATTCCGGGCTTAGTCCGACTCACCGGTCCAGACCATGACATCCTCCCGCCGCCACCGCGGTCATACGTCCGCCCCCACTTTCCAAATGACAAAACTACCCCTCATACTCTCCCCTGCCTCAAGTCGGCGTCCTTGTAATTACAGTGAAAAGCCAGGACGTTTTGGTCAAAAAATAAGAACTGCCACGTTGACTATAACCCTGAATTACCTGAGTCAACCGTATATTTTTCTAATTTCTTCGACTCGTCTGTTGTCGGAGGGAGAGAAAAGCGACCCGGTCACGTGGGAGCTCGCCGGAGCGCTAGATCTCACAGCAGCGGAGGGCGGCGGCGACGGATTCCAAGCTCTAGAGGGAGTTTGGACCTCCGTTCGTCTTTGGATCTGGTGGAAGCTTCTAGAGGCT